TTGACTTCAGATGGCTGTGCTGGCAGTGAGAATTTCAAGCTAGTGGATCTTAACTTCCTGGGCTCTGTGGGGGTGGCCTCCACTAAACTAGACCACTTGGCTCCCTGGCTTCAACTCCCTTTCCAGGGGAGTGAACGGTTGTGTCTCGCTGGCATTCCAGGCACCACTGGGATAAGGAAAAAGATTCCTGCAGCTAGCTTGGTGTCTGCCAATATCCCTGAATGAACATTGATTTGAAAATCCTCAATAAAATACTAGTAAACAGAATCCAGCAGCACATCAAAAAGCTTATCCACCACGATCAAGTCGGCTTCATCCCTGTGATGCAAGGCTGGTTCAACATATGCAAATCAGCAAACGTATTTCATCACATAAACAGAACCAATGACTAAAACCACACAATTATCTCAATAGATGCAGAAAAGGCCTTCAACAAAATTCAACACCGCTTCATGCAAAAAAACTCTCAATAAACTATGTATTGATGGAATGTATATCAAAATAAGAAGATTTATGACACACACACAGCCAATATAATACTGAATGGCCAAAAGCTGGAAGCATTCCCTTTGAAAACCAGCACAAGACAAGGATGCCCTCTCTCACCACTCCTATTCAATATAGTATTGGAAGTTCTGGCCAGGCCAATCAGGCAGGAGAAAGAAATAAAGGTGTTCAATTAGGAAGAGAGGAACTCAAATTGTCTCTGTGTGCAGATGATATGATGGTATATTTAGAAAACCCCATTGTCTCAGCCCATAATCTGCTGAAGCTGATAAGTAACTTCAGCAAAGTCTCAGGATACAAAATCAATGTGCAAAAATCACAAGCATTTCTATACACCAATAATAGACAAACAGAGAGCCAAATCCTTTTCACAACTGCTACAAAGAGAATAAAATACCCAGGAATACAACTTACAAAGGATGTGAAGGACCTCTTCAAGGAGAACTACAAACCACTGCTCAACGAAATCAGAGAGGACAAAAATGAGAAACATTCCATGCTCATGGATAGGAAGAATCAAGATCGTGAAAATGGCCATATTGTCCAAAGTAATTTCATGCTATCCCCATGAAGCTACCATTGACTTCCTTCACAGAATTAGAAAAAACAACTTTAAATTACATATGGAACCAAAACAGAGCCTGTATAGCCAAGACAATCCTAAGCAAAAAGAACAAAAGCTGGAGGCATCACAGTACCTAACTTCAAACTATACTACAAGGCTACAGTAACCAAAACAGCATGGTACTGGTACCAAAACAGATATACAGACCAATGGAACAGAACAGAGGCCTCAGAAATAATGCCACACATCTACAACCACCTGATTTTTGACAAACCTGACCAAAAAAAAACAAGAAACGGGGAAAGGATTCCCTATTTAATAAATGGTGCTGGGATAACTGACCAGTCATATGCAGAAAACTGAAACTGGACCCCTTCCTTACACCTTATATGAAAAGTAACTCAAGATGGATTAAAGACTTAAACGTAAGACCTAAAACCATAAAAACCCTAGAAGAAAACCTTGGCAATACTATTCAGGACATTGGCATGGGCAAAGACTTCATGACTAAAACACCAAAAGCAATGGCAACAAAAGTCAAAATTGAGACATGGGATCTATTTAAACTAAAGAGCTTCTGCACAGCAAAATAAACTATTGTCATAGTAAACAGGCAACCTACAGAATGGGAGAAAGTTTTTGCAATCTATCCATCTGACAAAGGGCTAATATCTAGAATTTACGAGGGACTTAAACAAATTTACAAGAAAAAGCAACCCCATCAAAAAGTAGGTGAAGAATATGAACAGATACTTCTCAAAAGAAGACATTTATGCTGCCAACAAACATGTGAAATAAACTTGTCATCACTGGTCATTAGAAAAATGCAGATCAAAACCACAATGAGAGGCCATCTCATGCCAGTTAGAACAGCGATCATTAAAAAGTCAGGAAATAACAGATGCTGGAGAGGATGTGAAGAAATAGGAACACTTTTACACTATTGGCGGCAGTGTAAATTAGTTCAACTATTATGGAAGACAGTGTGGTGATTTCTCAAGGATCTAGATCCAGAAACACCATCTGACCCAGCAATCCCATTACTGGGTATATACCCAAAGGATTTTATATCATTCTACTATAAAGACACATGCACACATATGCTTATTGCAGCATCATTCACAACAGCAAAGACTTGGAACCAACCCAAATGCCCATTGATGATAGACTGGATAAAGAAAATGTGGCACATATACACCATGGAATACTATGCAGCCATAAAAAAGGATGAGTTCATGTCCTTTGCAGGGACATGGATGAAGCTGGAAACCATCATTCTCAGAAAACTAACACAGGAACAGAAAACCAAACACTGCATGTTCTCACTCAGAAGTGGGAGTTGAACAGTGAGAACACATGGACACAGGGAGGAACATAACACATCAGGACCTGTTGGGAGTGGGGGGTAGGGGAGGGATAGCATTAGGAGAAATATGTAGATGATGGCTTGATGGGTGCAGCAAACCACCATGGCAGTTGTATACCTATGTAACAAACCTGCATGTTCTGCACATGTATCCCAGAACTTAAAGTAGAATAATTTTTTTAAAAAGTACTTATCAGCTTTGCCCTGCCAAGTCTCCATTCTCTATTTAACTGTACATGAGTAAGCACTGCTTTCAGCTAGCCACTTTCCTTTTTCTCAAACTCTTTGAATGTTCCTTTGGGAGTTTCAAACCATCCCTTCCAGCCACCATTCTTTTATTCCTAAAGGTTGACTTGTCATGCTCTCCACTCTGTTTGGGAAGGGTATTAACCAGCCTGCTGTTCAAGTTACTCAGCCCTAGGAGGATCTTTTTACAGCTGAAGGAAGCTCTAAACCAGTGTCTCTAATCTTGAGGTCCAGCCACCTGGCTTGGCACTCTACCTTCCCCAGGCAAAGTCATTTTAGGTCACTGCCTAGCAAAACCCAGGCTTGAATGATCTGTTGAGTAGAGGTTCTCAAAGGAGAAGTGAGTGGGAGGAGGTGTAGATTTTACAGTGATGGAGGTGTGTGACGGAAAGGGCAGGTCAATGTCCTTTGAAAGGGTATATGCTTCATTGCAATTCATGCTTGGAGCGTTCCTAAAATTAATATTTTAATAATGTAAATTGCAAAGAAAGAAGAATGACAAAACAGGCTGGTGGTGATGCACTGAAGATGCAAAACTTCTCTATGGTGGGATGGATGGTAAGTGGAATTATTGGAATCTACTGGAGACTAGAGATTTTTATATGTATCAAAAAAAGACATGAATTTTTACAATAGTTGAGGAATGTAGTGGGATTTTGGGGTAAAGCCTTAGTTTAGTTTATATCCTTCTATTGTTATAGATTCCTTTAGTTTATATCCTTCTATTGTTCTAGATTTGTAACCTATGGGAACCCCAACTTCTGAGGTAGCCTAAGCCATAGTTTTTCAATCCAGAAAAAAGTCAGCTGTAACATGTAAAAGTTTTTAAGCTGTATCAAACTCTCTCTGAAAGAGTTTTTTTTTTTTAATGCTACAAAATTGCAAATAGTATATGTGACATTTAACTTTTAGATTTTTTTTTTTGAGTAATAAACTAATACTTATAACAGTCCCTGAACTATGTGGATAAAATATGGTTTACGTCAGTGAATGTGTATATACATATACAATACTACAAGGAAAGATTTATGATAACTCACCGACTAGTGAAAGATTGCTTCAGAAAACATAAATCTCCCAAGATCGAACTAATAGTCTTCCCCGAGGGGACTTCAAAAGAATTTACATTTGAATTGGATCTTGAAACTCTGTGTTTGAATTTATCACCCATTCCTCAGGAAAGTTTATAGTTATATATAAGATAGCATTCTAAAAATGAAATTCAATGACAACAAATCAGTTTGGCCTTTTAAAAATTATTATCAGAATTATGTTACTCTAGTGGACTGATTCTTGCTCTAAATTTAGCTTGTCCCCATAGCATCAAGAATCTGACCTCAAATGGATTTCATAAATAATCCCTTTTAATAAATACCATGATTCTTCTAAATGTAAAAAGAAATCTCATATGGAAGACCCAACAAGGAAAAAGATCTAAAACTAACACAATTTAAAAACTGGTAAAATTCTTCACCTTGGCTTCTTAAATCTGTTTCCATTGCCAACACATATATAAAAAGGCATAAAAATTATAATTTCCAAGAACCTGCAGCCAAATCCTCTCCAAATGCTAAGATATATATGTCTTTACAGATTCATTGATCCGTTTAGACCGCCACTCATGATTCATCTGTTCTTTAATTCCTAAGGATGAAGTTAGTTACAAGAAATAATTACAGGAATTTATTTTTTTTAATTAAGAGTTGACGGAGAATAACATTTAAATATGCTAGAATTTAGATACATTCTGCAACAGGTTTTCCTTATCAGAATTTATATCTGTATCTATATCTATAAGCTGAAAGCACGCCTTTTAGCCCCTGGCTCTGCCCCTTCCTTGCTGTGGGCCATTCATTGGACCTTTTTGAGCTGGAGTATCCTCACATCTAAAAATGAGGATAACAATTGTAGTTACCTTATAGGATTGGTGAAAGACTTAACTAAGATAATATGAGTATGAAAACCATGTTCCTGGCCCATAATACAGGCTCAATGGATATTATCATGGTTAATACTTACACAACCAAATGATTGTCAAAATATGATCAAGGCCTTGAAATATGTCCCTTAAGCCCTATTTTGGTCTTGTTCTCCTTTCCAGTTGCATTTTACTTACTACGCAGTGCAGCCATCCAATTTATGCCTTATTTAAATCCTTGCCATAAAATATGACATATTTTGTTTAGGGGCTTAAGAGGGTTACTTCTTCCAATGGTTAAAATTATTCAACCTCTTCATGATGAGAGAAGAGTAAAGGAAACAATGTCTGCTGAACAAACATATTGTTTAATTTTTCTGCTATTGTTTCATCTACAGAATGGGCAGAACTCACTCTGGAAGAGCTAGTGGGAATAATGCCATTTGGGAAGCACACAACATAGGCAGCACAGTGGAGCACAGGAAAGTCTGGAGCGTTAGTTCCTGGGTCCTGAAGGAATGAGAACTTTCACTGGAGTCTGGATTCCACTGTAGACAAAATCCTCTTTGTATCGCCAAATGACTCCCATTTTCCTAAACTTACTCTAAGAATATCTTTTAACAGCAATTTGAATAAACCGACTCACATACCACTGTGATTTGATGTCTGATTTGCTACCGAATCAACTGTGTTTGGCCAGCCTTTCTGTCTTCACATTTTTCATAGTGTTTATTCTTAAGCTTAGCAACCAACCAAACTTTGAGTGGAATATCAGTATTCAAGAGTAAAATGTATTATTAGTTTTCTAATTGTTCCCCAAGAGATTGAGTTTGTGTAGTTTACATTTTTGCACTTTCTGTTTTACTTATGATATTCTCAACGCATGAAATTTTGGCCTGTTCCCTCTCACTATTCACAAACTTCCAAACGCTGGTAAAAATGCCTCTGTGTGTCTTTAATTCACATAACAGATTTGTGTTATGTTAAATGTTAGTGAATATATAAACGGAAGAATACAACGATAATTTTGTTAAAGAATCAAAAAGTATCAGGATATTCGTCTTAAGATTGTCCTATGGCAGTGACAAATTGAAGTTCCCCACCAAAATGTACGAATTTTGGATTTGGGCCAGACAGCTAAAAAAAACTGTTTCTTGATCCAAAAAGGTTTTAAGTTGAAAAAATAGTGCTTTTACTTAAATTTTAAACAACGGTTTTTTTTTTTTTTCTTAATTTACTCCATTAAAAAATGCATACATTTGGACAGAGTGAGACTCCGTCTCAAAAAAAAAAAAAAAAAAAAAAAAAAGGCGTGCATTTATAGTCACAGAATTAGTTTTCGTTTTGACCTTAAAAGTATTTAAACTTACTAAAAATGTAGTTTTTGAAAAAAGAAAGTGAACATGTGGCTTTTCAGACAAGAGAATGGTATGTAATGTTTTGCATCAGCTCCGGGTCTTGTCCACCAATCAGAGGTCCTTTAGAGCTGGTAGGGTCTAGAATGATCATTATTTTATACCCTCATTTTACAGATAAAGAACCTGAGACCCGCTAGAGTAAGTGACTTGGTTAAGACAGGGCGCGCTCCAGAGACCAGGTCCAAGATCTTCCCCCTTTTCACAATTATAAGGCGGCTGTCTAGAGGCCATTCCCTTCCTTTGATCCTCATAAAGTTAATTTTCAGTCTCTTGGAGAGGACTGGGCGATCGCCTGGCTTAGAAGTTTTCCTCACTCCCCGAACCCCATTTTCTCTTCCTTCCGCTCGCCGTGTCCCCAGCGCCTACAGCTGGAAATCAGCCGCCCGTGAGGCTACGGGGCACAGAAGCGGCTGGCGGCTCCGCGGACCCCTTGCCGCCGACCTGGATGAGGCCTGGGCTCGGGAACCGCGTGATGCAGCCCAAAGAACGCGCAGAACAGCACGTGTTCTCCCCGGTGCCCCGGACTCCCGCGCCGCCGCCCAATCGCCGCGGCCGCCTGACGCTCAGGCCGGGCCTGCCGGCCGCGGGCACTCAGGGCCCGGGGATTCGCGCCGCCGCCGCCCGCCATGCGCTTCCGCTTCGGGGTGGTGGTGCCGCCCGCCGTGGCAGGCGCCCGGCCAGAGCTGCTGGTGGTGGGGTCGCGGCCCGAGCTGGGACGTTGGGAGCCGCGCGGGGCCGTACGCCTGAGGCCGGCAGGCACTGCGGTGGGCGCCGGGGCGCTGGCGCTGCAGGAGCCGGGCCTGTGGCTCGGGGAGGTGGAGCTGGCGGTCGAGAAGGCGGCGCAGGACGGGGCGGAGCCGGGCCGCGTGGACACGTTCTGGTACAAGTTCCTGAAGCGGGAGCCGGGAGGAGAGCTCTCCTGGGAAGGTATTGCCAGCAGACGTCTGCCCCCGGTGTAGAGCAGGAGTTCCGGCCCGCACCCCCAGCCGGGGCCTAGGCCTCGGGCGTGCCCGGCAGGCCCCGGCGGCGCGCGTCGGGCTCTTTGCCCGCGTCCCTGCGCACTCGCCGGACGCCCCGGGCTGACCCTGCTTTGCTAGCCACGCTGTCGCTGCCAGCGGCGGCTCCGGCTTCCTACTGGTTCCCTAGACCCGTACAGCGCTCCCGGCCGCCTTCCAGTCCCCTCGGTCGCCTGCCCCTCTAACCTGATTTCCGCACACCCAATCTTCAGCTTCTTTCCAACCGCGGCTGCTTCACGGGCCAGTGCCCTTCGTCTCCCGCCAGGGGCCCTCTTAGCTCTCCGAGTCCCCCTCGCCTTCCAAGTCCTTCCTTCGCGGGTCCCTTGGCTGCTCGGCCGCGCGCCGCTGATGGCTTCAACTGCCCAACTCCGCTTTAGTTGAGTTTTGTGTGCTCATTTTCCTGCTCTAGTTCACTAAAAAGAAAAACGATCCAACCAACGAAAGTAGCGTTTTCGCTAATCCTAGACTGCAACGTGCTGCTTAGATTTTTTTTTTTTCTTAGATATTGAGAATGAACTAATGGAAAGACATTGAATATTTCCCTTTTTGGATTTTTTTTTCTTTCTTAATCCCAGATATGTGACAATTGAGACATGACCTGATTTCTTAAAATACTAAAACAATACATGTTGGTTGTAGAATAATAATGATGATAAAAAAGAAATCTGCATAGTAAAAACTTACAGTGTTTCCTCCACACAATCTTAAGCACAGTGCTTGTACACATTTATGTATGTGGTATATGCATATACTTTTTTTTTTTTTTTACAAAAATTGTATAATACATAATTCTGATTTTTTGCTTTTCTTGCCTAACAGTATGTTACGGACATCTTTCACTGTCACTACATGTAGATATATATTTTACATGTAGATGTATTTTAAATGGCAACAAATTATTCTGCATCTACGAACGTGCATTTAAGTTCTTTTCAGTTTTCCTCTGTTATAAACAGTAGTAGGTTAATTGAAATTCCTTTTACAGGTATCTTTGAACATTCGGGAGTGTTTCTACAGAGTGGATTCAAAGAAGTGAAATTATTGGGTCAAAATGCAGTCATTTTTTTTTAACACTTCATTAAGGACTGCTAAATTATGCCCTAAAAGGGTGATAACTAATGTCAGCTCCCGCCAACAATGTCTGAATTGAGACAGACCCTTTCTTTAAGGGAAATGTGCAAGGTTGAAGACTGGAGTGGGTGTAACTCAATAGTTGAAGTCAATGAAATGAATGTCTTTTTAGAAGTTTATTTGAAAAGAATGGACCATTTAGCCTGTAATGATGTAGAAACAAAGAATCAGTAAAGAAAGTTAGAGTGGAATATGTTTATATATTATCCTTGTTATCTTTTTGTTCCCCACTAGGCTTATGGTCTGGTAGCATTTATTGGTCTTTTATTTTACCATGACAGAATCGAAAGATACCATCTTCAGTTTATCCTTTCTTTACAGGTATTACTATTATTCATAGTATTGTAGAATTATTTTTTAAAATAAAATATCTGATAATTGTGATAAAAATGTAAATGGTGTGAAACAAAGATCTTCCCTTTCCCTAGTTCTTCTTTTCTTTAGCTTTTCTGATAGTCTTCCCTATGCTGTAGTTTGCTTATGTTGCTATTTCTTAAGGTATCACAAACTTTTGTTTTTAGTTTTTCTAATAGTTACCATATGTTATACATAATTTTTAAAATTAAAATTAGGCAATAAATATTGACACCTACTGAATGCACATAAAATTAACCATCACACCTGTTATGAAATACGAGGAATTTAGCTCAAGTTCATTCTCTATCTTCTCTGCTGATTTTTTTTACTGTTATTTTCAGTTTTTTTTTGATAAATATTTTTCTTTACCATCCAAGCAGGAATTATTTTCAGTTTTGTATTAAAAGTTGACTGTTGACTTTCTAGGAAGTTACTCCTGTAAGAGAGGGTAAGAAAAATATTACACATTTCTTCCTCTCTCCTCAGCTTGGTTTATTATGACTTTTACATTATCAGGTTTTATATAATTTATATTCTGTTTTCTGATTGTTACGGTGCCTTCTTGTTTAAGGTAAATAGACTGATTCTAAGCATTGTAAATTAACAGAGAGTTTTATGAGAAGCAGGGTAGCCAAGTGTTTAAAAGCAAGGATTCTGGAGCCAGATTGCCTGGTCTCACCAACCAGTGTGGGATTTGAAGCGCATCACCTCAGCTCACAATGAAAGGACCAAGCTGCCTAATAAATGAACTGTATTTTGTAGAATAGGATATATATTAAGAACTTAGAAGAGGATGTATGGTAAATGTTAAATAAGGGCTAGGTATTATTTTTTACTATTATTAGGAAACCACGTAGTGCAATTAGATTGTAAACAAAGAAATAAAATTTTGTGACATGAAAACTGTACAACTGCAAGGAAAAATTCTCTTTTCTTCACTAAAAATCATGCTCAAATTTGACTTAAAATAGTACTACACTTTGTTTTACTTCATATTTGAACTGTAATGTTCTTCTACAACTTGTTTAAAAATTTGTTATTAATTTTTTTAACAGAAGAGTTACACCAGTTCTCACAATGTTCTAGCTTGATTGCACTACTTGATGAATGCATATTGCTTATTTCTTGAAAATAAAATTTTTTTCCTCGAAGAATTAGGATTCCTGTTCTAATTTTCACTTTTCACTAATATATGGCTCTCTGATATATTTTTGTATGTGTGTGTGTGTATATATATGTTTCTGATATATATATCAGTTTTATATAAAATATTGACTGTTGACTTTCTATTATATAGAAATTTCATTCTTATAATGCTATTATGCAGGAAGTTACTCCTATATGAGAGGATAAGAAAAATAGCTTACACATTCCTCTCCCTTCCTTACTTCGGCGCGCGCACACACACAGAAACACACACACACACACACACACACACACACACATACACACACACAGGTTTTAGCTACAAACCTGAGACTAAAGAAAACAATTGAACTCCTATATTAGTTGCACTGTTTTAAATGGTATATCTTCCTGTTTCTTAAAAACCTTAATCATTTCTTTGGATAATTTTCAAGAAATGGTAAAATCAGAGAGAAAATATCTGAGCCCTTAAATTCCTAAAAGGTCTTTATTTGGGTTTATTTGCGTTTCAATCAAATGATCTTGATTGATCATTTGGTACAGTATTCTGGTCTTAAAATAATTTTCCCTTGAAGACTGTGCCTCAGTAA